CCGCCCCGAGCAGACGGCGGGCTGGGCCCGAGAGACCCCCGGCAGCCCCGCGCCCGGCGCTGAGCCCCTGCGCCCTGCGAGACTGCAGGGGGAGGCAGGAGTTGTGCCGAGCTTCCTGAGATCACAGGGATGGGGTCTGGAGGGATGGGGCAGGTGATGCTGGTCCGTGAATGGAAACCCTGGATCCCGTTTACAGCTTGAAGTTGGAATGTGAGAAGCTGATGAGTGAGAAGACAGAGATGCAGAGACATTATGTCATGGTGAGCTCCCCCTACCCTGTCCCTGCTGCCTTCCCTCAAAGCATCCTGGACTGCTGCCCTCAGAGAGGTCCCAGTGCTGGGACTCCACTCGGCTGCTCACCCAGAGGGGTCAATGCCCTGCTGGGGGTGTCCGGCCCGGTGCTGCCCTTGGGGCCAGGGCTGGGAGGTGTGAGGGAGGAAGGAATTAGTCACTATTCCTCACAACACCAGCTCTTCTGCTGCTATCTGCATATTCAGTGCTGCTAGAGCCCAGGAATCCTGTCATAGGTTTTGTTTCTTTTATTTTCTTTTTTCCTCCCTTTTTCTAATTGACCTTTTAAGAGAGCTCCCCACTCCTCCCTGTCTCTCTCCCAAGGGGTGGGTGTTTCAGAACTCATATCCTAAGACTGGTGTTTTAGGTGAAAGGGGAAGGAGCAGGAGCCTCCACAGTTGCCAGCCAGAGCCTGGCAGGAACAGGGGAGCTGCTGGGAAGAAGGAAAGAAAATGGGGACAGCAGAACAGGAGCAGCATTCCCTCTCCTTTAGCATCTGACACTCTTGGCCCCTCTAGGGAAAGGGGGAACCCAAATTACGCCGTCCAAGAGGCAAAAAGATGTGAACTCAGGGAACCCCCATCCCTGGGGTGAAGACAGCCCTGTCCTTGAGGCCAGGGGTGTCGACATCACAGGGCGTGTTCTTGTCATCCATCAGCTGGGATCCCTCCCCACATCCTGGAGGCTTAGGGATTCCCAGAGGTGGACTACTTCCTTTGGAATAGGCTTTGCTGGAGGAACGCAGGTCCTCTGGTTCTTTTTTTTCTCCCCACGTGTAAGGGGATGGGGTCGGCTGCCGGCACCACTGGCAGAGTCATTGGTGACTGGTGAAGGGCGTAACCCACTGTCATCTTTGCTCTGCACAGGCATGACACCCACATGGGTGGGTGGGCAGCTGCATCAGGGTGTGAGTCTGACTTAGGAGTGGGACAGGCCAGGCCAAACCAGGATGGGATGTGGAGGGCAGAGGGATTGGCTTCCTCTGGCTTAAATTAGTGCAGAAATTGCAGAGCAATCATCACAGGTGTTAGCAGTCTGTGGCTGCTCCCTACCTTGTCCCAGGCTTGTGGCATGGGGTCTTGGCCTGTGGTGTGTGGGGCAGCCATTCCGCATGAGCTGGAGGGAGCACCAAAAGGGGAGCTCGGCCAGGGGGAGCAGGACTGGCAGCCAAAGCCCTGGCTGATCATCGTCCAGTTGCTCTGGGCAGCTCCTAATCAGGCTGTGTTGTGGTTTTCCCTCAGTACTATGAGATGTCCTATGGCCTGAACATCGAAATGCACAAGCAGGTAAGTGAGTGGGGTCTGTGCCAGCAACAGGAGATGGTGGGGAAGAGGCCGAGGTTGGAGACTTCGCTGGAAAATTCCCTTCCTCATCCCCGTGTAGCTGTAATGGCACAGGAGACATGACATGGCTCTCTGCAAGGGACTGGCTTCAAAGGAGTCCAGATGTTGTCGGGACATGTGCTGTTGAGTTCCTTGGGACAGGGACCTACCAATCCAAATCACCACTCAGAGCCTCTGTGTGAGCCCTGGTGCCTTCCTGCAGAGGGTCCCTGGGGCCTGAGTTGAGGGAGGAATGTGGAAGAAACAGCAGAAGCTGGAGCCCAAGGGCAAATGGATTGTCTTTCTTTTCTTTTTTTCCTAATCTCCTTTTCCCTAAGTCAGAGGAGTGTTTTTACCCTTCCTTGGTTCCCCTTTTGTTCCAGTGTTAATTTGTTTTCCCTCTTCAGATTTATCAATCTAGTCATCATGGGCTCTCTGCCAGGGAAATTAGTTTGGACCAATGCCTGACAAAGTGGCAAGTCAACTGCCATATTCCTCCAGCTGGCTCAGCCCCTCTTGAGTTTGCTCCTTTTGGTAGCAGGGAGTATGGTAGACCATGAGCATATTCCTGCCATCCCCAGATGCTTCAAGATCTGGTGGGACTGGGACCCACGGATGGGACTGGGACCCGGGGTGGCCCATGCCACATGGGGCCAGTGGCTCTGTCCACAAGGCGATAGAAGTGAGGGCCAAGCGGCTGAGAAGCGGGAGCCCTGACCCACCTGGGTCCAGCTCCTGGCTCTACTTGGGCAGGGGAGGTCTGGAGGGGAGGCGTCTTTGACTCCCAGGGTCCTGAGTGGGCATTGTGGCAGTGGCTGAGACAGCAGCTGGGACCTGCAGGTGAGCAGGGCACTGATGGGTGCGGGGGTGTTCCCAGGGTGCAGCAGGTAAATGTTCCCTTTGTTGGCCCTGAGCGTGGTTTGACCACTGCAACACTGTCGTGGATTATCAGAAATCTGAGATGAAAAAATGCTTCAGAGCAGCCAGTCCCTCCACCAGTGCCAGGGAAGATTTGCAGTGAGGGAATCGAGTTTTCCCCAGGAGACATGGGTTTTCTCTTGCAGAGGCTGGGCTGGAAGCCACAGCCCCTTTGCTCAGAAGTGCTGCTTACCCTGGTGGGGCCGTGGCTGGGCTGTGGGTCTGTCTGTTACCACAGGCTCTCCTCAGAGGATACACCAGGTTCTCTGCATTCCCTTGTTGCCGCTGCTGGGCAGAGGCAGGTCCGAGGTGTTCTGTGCCTCTGCTCCCTCTTTGGAAGGAGCAGGGAGAGGTGCCGGCTGGCCCAGGACTTGATGGGGATGGCAGCGGGGTCCCTGCTCTGGGCAGGGCAGGTACCACCATCAGCTCCTTGCAGGGTTTGCAGGCACGATGCCAAGAGGGCTGAATCTGTGGGAGTTCTGTGTCCCTTGCTCTGCCCTGGCTTTAAGTCCGACACTCGGGGACAGCGCAGTGTGTGGGTGGCCCACTGCCAGCGTCTGCGGCTCAGCTCTGCCCCGTCCCTGCCTGTGCCAGTGGCAGCCCCAAAGCCAACCTGGGTTTGGGCTGAGCAAAGCCAGCTGGGCTGTGACAGGAGTGACAGCTTGGAGCTTGCCTTGGCCTGGGTCCACAGAGGGATTTGGGCGTCGGGATCCCTCCCACGTGCCTCTGGGACCTGGCAGCCTGGAGGGGTCCAGCAGCTTTGGGCAGAGTCTTCTCTTGGCAGCAGGAAGACCCAGAAGGGATGTAGAGGCAGCAGGAGAATTTCCGCTGAGAGGGTTTGGGTGGGGAGAGTTTAACTTTGCCTGCATGTCTGCAGGATGCTTGGCTGCCCTCCCCTCTGCTGGAGGGGACGGGATAGGGCTCAGAACCCTCCATCCCAGGCGATACCTGCTTCCTCTTTCAGGCAGAGATTGTCAAGAGACTGAGTGCCATCTGTGCCCAGATTATCCCCTTTCTGACACAGGAGGTGAGGAGGCAGGGGATGTGCATCGGACTGCTCTGGCTTGTCTTGAGGGAAGCCCTTGGGAAGGGGGGAGTCAAAGTCCAGCTTGAAAAACAGGAGGTTTTGGGGAGGAAAATCTCCATACCTGGGCTGGAGGGATGGGAGAAGGGACTGTGCAGTCCCAGGTGGCTGGGGCAACACCGGGCCAGGAGCACAGTGTGACTGCCTCCATGCTCTTCCTTCCCAGCACCAGCAGCAGGTCCTGCAGGCGGTGGAGCGGGCCAAGCAGGTGACCATGGGAGAGCTCAACAGCATCGTTGGAGTGAGTCACACTGCCCAGCTGTGGGCCAAGGCTCTTCCCTGCCACAGGGGTTTGGACCCTGCAGCACAGTGATGGGAGAAGTCAGGGGTTTTGCCACTTCAGTAAGTCCGTTGCAGCGAGGGGGTTTGCCACTGTGTCCTTAAAGCAGTGGATGGCCTCTGGGATCCCCTTGGCCCCTGCTGCCCGGGGCAGAGCGGGGCAGAGCCATGGCTTGGGCTCTGCCATGTGTTTGGATCACATTTGTGGCAGGGAGGCACTCGAGGTTCCATGGGTGGAAGAAGCAGTGATGGCACCCAGACTGTGCAGCCTCAACAGCTCTGCTCACCTCCTTGTCTTTGCTGGCGTCTCATCCTGTTGCGCTTTGCATCGCAGTCAGTGCGGGAGGGGAGGGTGCCGGGCATGGCTGTGGCTGGCTCTGCCACACCCAGAACCATCTGTTCTTTCTCTTTCAGCAGCAGCAGCTTCAGCACCTCTCCCACCACGCATCCCCGCTCCTGCTGACACCCCACTCCTCCAGCATGCAACCTTCTAGCTTGAGCGGGGCCAGTGGCACCTTGGGGCTCCTGGCCATCTCGGGGGCACTGTTGGCACAGTCTCAACTGGCCACCAAGGAAGACAGAGTGGCCCAGGATGGGGAGAACAAAGGTAAGGGGAAGAAGCATAGCTGGATTAACCTTTCAAAGGCTGGCTGAGTCAGTGCTGGGCAGCCTGCTGCAGGGATCCTGCTGCCTGCTCTACCTCTTTTCTCAGTACTCCTCAGTGCCTGGCTGCTGCAGCTCAAGGGATGGCAGATCCAGCTCATGAAATATGTGCAGACCCAGGAGTTTGGCTCCATTTTTGACCTTGGAACTGCTGCCATGCAGTGACGGTGTGTGACAGTGGTGAGGGTGGCTGTGTTTGCACCCCTGACACTGGGCAGCAGGGCTCTGGACACATCTCCCTGCTCCCCTGGGTGTTTCCAGTGTATGAGGGTCCCCCCCTCCATGAGGCAGCTGGGAGGGTGTGAGGTCCTCGTCACAAAGAAACCTTCTCTAATTACACTAGGGTTTACACCAAGTAAAGATTTGATGCCCAAAGCTGAGACTTCAAGGGAAACTACTGTTGTAAGCCCCTGGTAGAAACTATGGGAACCACAAATCTGGGGCAAGGAATTTAGAAACCAGAGCCTAACTGCATGTGTGGTGCCATGTAAATTGCATTAATTCCTAGTCCTTATGGGTGCCTCCTCCTGTCAGGATCACAACGTGCCTTACAAACATCATCAATATTTAATCATCATAAAATCAGTGCTCTGAATGCTATTGCAGGACTGGGCCAAATTAGTAATGCTGCCCAGCTTTGCTTGTGACCTACTGCTGCTGAAGTGCTGCACAAAGGAGAAGCTGCTCTGAGCTCAAGTCACCTTTTGCAGAGTGCAGGAATTGGGTAGTTGTGCTGAGAGGGAGACTGGGGCAAGAACAGGGGCTCCAGGCATCTCTATGGGCTAGAAACAGGCAACCGAATTTAGCAGCTGTAGTGATGCTTCTCTGCAGATTTCCCTGGGAAAGGTGCTGACTGAAATGCACTTGGGACAGGACCCAACAGCAACAGCAAAGCTGGGCACTGGGTGGGGTTTGCTGCAGTTTCTAATGGTCTGGTTTGGCTTGTTAAGATGTCAAGGTGGTGAAAACAGCAGCAGGAAGCTGTCGGTGGCTGCTGTGTGCCCCTGCACACAGCTGTCTGCAGTCAGAATTCTGTTCGTGTTTCTTTAAGGATGGCTTCCCAAAGGAGAAAAACAAACTCCAGAGAGAGGATAAAAGCAGGGGCACTGTGCTGTGCTGAGCCTGCTTAACCCTCCAAGCCTGGATAGCCCCATGCCTCCAACCAGAACTTCTCTCAGCCTGGGTGTCTGGCCTTAGTGAGGGCCATTCCTTAAAACAAAAAAAGGTGAAATGCTCCATCTGGCTGGGGTTAATCCCTGGTGCTCTGCCACAGTTAGCCAGAGCTTGTGTGAGTTGAGCTGAGCCAGAGGTGTGGGGCTGATGGCAGGCATCCAGTTCCCCTCCTGGACCATGGCCTTGGAGCAATGCCTACAAGAGTCCCTCAGCTCCCCATCCCTGCCTGACTCTTTTTGCCAGCAGAGACCTGAACGAGTTTGTTCTTTCCAAATGCTGGTGGATTTCTAGGAGTGAAAATCAACCAGGGAGGGTTGCTAGACCGCAGCCGCAACCCTGTGCTTGGATTTGCAGCAAATGCCTGGCACGTTTTCCCTGGGCTCAGGGAGGTGGACCTGTTTTGCTATGCATGTACAAAAGCTTCAGAGGCTTTCCAAGCAAGGTTTTTAGGCATGGCTTCCTAAGGAAATAGGATGGGTGTGATTCACGAGGTCTCAGCTGGCTGGTCGGCTTGTCCCCTCCTGGCAGCTTTGGACCTGTTGCCACATCTAGGGAAGAGATTCCAAAGCTGGGGTAATTCTTGAAAGTAGGTGGGTGGATAGAGATTTCCCTGCTTCCCTGAGGAAAACCAATGTGCTCATCTCCCATTAGACAACAGAGAATCCACACTTTAGGTGGGCAAAGTGGGAAATCAGGTATGATTTGTAAGCCCATGTCCTGCTGTTTCCTGTGTTACCCTGCAGTGCCCCCCTCTCCTCCCTGCCCGAGTATATGGGGCACAGCCTTGGCATTAACAGCCTCTTCCTCTCCTCCCCTCTGCCTTGCTGACATGGATCTGCTCGGATATTCTCCCTGCTGCTGCTTGGCTCCAGAACGTGCCCCAAGCCGGGTAAGTCGTGATGGACTGGTAGCCTCAGCTGGCCTCAATGGTATCTCCAGTGTGGGCCAGGCAGGAGCCGAGCTGGCCCCTGGCTCCTGGGAATGGTTGGGGGTGCTGGGCAAACTTTGCTGGCCTGAGTAGGTTGTGTTTGTATCAGTGTTTTGTAGCTGAAGGTTCTGGGCCACCTCAATTCAGTCTTTGCTGATGCAAGAATCTAAAGATCAAGGGCTACTCCCAAAATAACCAGCTCTGTCCTTTTCAAGGAGTTTCCAGTTTAAGAATCACTCTGAACAGGTCTCCCTTCTAAGCCCGGTGCTGCCAGCCCCTCTGCAGTCCTCGGCTGCCCCCTCCCTTTTATGATCTCCCCAGTCCCAGATCTGTGACTCCATTCCCAGGCTCCACAGTAGCTTACAGCTCAGCAATATCCAGAGTTCCAGTTCCTGTTACAAGCAGAGGAAGAAAGGGTTAAAGAGCTCCTTCATAGGGGAACAGTTGGCATTGATCTTAGGCTGTCAGTCAGGTGGGAGAGGAAGAAGGAGAGAAGGTGTCTGTGTTGTGCAGAGGGGATTCCAGACCTACCCAGGTGCCTCTTTCAGAGATTGCCGAGGGGACAGGGAGCATCATTTCTGCTTCTTGATTCTGTGTGTCAAAACTGTTGATCTTACTGTGCTGGGAACAATCGGCTCAGGGGAACCCTGGGATGGGGCATGTTCTCCCGGATTGATTTCCATCATGAACAGCCCTGTGGAGCAGTCCTGGGAAGGTCGGGAGGCCACGCTCCAGCCCAAGCACACTGGCTGCTTGGGAGAAAAGGCAGTCCCTCTGGGCAGCCAGTGCCAGCCAGGTGTTCCCCTGGTCTGCAGAGAGGCACCTTTTGGCTGCATTATCATGTAGGGATGCAAGGGGATGTGTGATACCACTGCAGCTGCCAGCAGCCTCTGGGGAACGGGTATTCATCCTGCTTGGCCCCATCCCGCTTCCCAGCCCGCTGGCTCCCATGCAGCAGGGTTGAGGTGAAGTAAACACGGCTCCAGTGGGGACTTTCCACTCCACCATGACATTACGCTCCCCATGCCTTCTTGTCTCTGCAGGGGCAGATCTGCCCTCCAGTCGTGCCCTCCCCTTGGTGCTGGTGGCTGGGCCAGGGCGCAGCTGCACATCCTCGTCCTCCTCCATTGCTGTCACAGGGGGGTCATCTGCCAGCGGGGGCTGGGGCCCCCTGCTCTGCTGTCTCTGCCCTGCTTTGGCCAGGAAGGGGAGGCCGTGGCTTTGGGGTTTTGGGCTCCTGCCCACCAGCCAGGGACATGCTTTGCCAGGGTGGAGGCAGTGATGGAGCAGGGCCTGGCCCGACTGAGAGGTGAGGGGTGTCTGTCTTCCCTCACACTGGCTGACATGCCTTCCTCTCCCCCCTCTGTGTCAGAGCATTTCTTGTTTCCCCCCTGAACGCCTGCAGGATGAGGAGCGGATGGGCCTGAAGCGGAAGCGGGAGGAGAGGAGAAGAACCTGCCTGGGCATTCTGTGAGTGCACTAAAGAGTGTGGCTGTGGGAGCTGGTCCTGGGAAGTGGCTGGGGAGCCTTGTGCCTACCCTGGTGCAGGGAGGTGGTGTCCTGTGAGCAATAACAAAGCAAAAGAAGAGCCCCGGGGAGGCCACTCAGCCAGAGGTCTGGGTCGCTGCCAGCAGGGCATGGTATTGGTCCATGAGGAGTGATGAGCAGGAGAAAATGAGTCTTTATGCTGTCTGGGATCCTGGGGCAGAGCCTGGTCCAATCTCTCCCAGTCCTGACTGAGCCCTTCTGGATTTCTCCCTCTTTGCAGGATAGTGATGGGGACAAGAGCGACTACAACCTCGTGGTGGATGACGTAGGCCCTTATACTTGGAACCTTGCAGGGTATCCAGCTCAAGCTGTAGTCATCAAGTTTAGGACTCTGGTTCCTAAGCTTAGGACTCTGGTTCCTAAGCTTTGGAGTTCCTTAGGCTCTAGGTCATTGCTGTGGGGAACAGCATCCAGCCAGGACATGTGCCAGCCCTGCTCTGATGTGTTCATGTCAGCCAAGACTGATTCCACTCCCACTGCTCTGAGTAGAAAGCTGTGCCAGCCAGGGCTGAGCTTTGCCAGCCACAAGTTTGGCTCTGATTCACAATTCCCTTTCAGTCCCTCTCCTGTAGCATCCCATATGGGGAGACTGATAAGCTGGGATGAGAGCTCCAGGGAGTTGGGTTTGCTGCTGGCAGCTCCAGTGAGTAGAGGTGGCAGGAGCAGGCAGCCTCGCAACACACCCTGGCCCTGCCAGCCCCGGGCTTTGCAGTGCACCTCATGCCCTGCCTGGCCTTCCAGCAGCCTCGACTTTAACACACCAAGCCTGTGTCAGTGTCTCAGTGCAGGGAGCACACCGAATTCCAGTCCTTTGCAATGGAACTGCCACGTACTTCTGGTACAACCTTCCCTGGCTGCTGAGGCAGGCATGACAGAAATTTATCCCAGCCACAACTATTCTTGGCAGAGATGATGTTTTCAGGGACATACCTGCTCATTTTCTGGAAGACAAGGGGAAGGGACAACATGTGTGAGGTATTTTTTCCTCCTACCACTTCCTAAGAAAATACAAGCCCTAAAAGGAATATCAGCAGGAATTTCTGCAGAAAACAACACTTACAAAAACTACTTGGTGGAATTATGGTGGTAAAAATCACAGACCTGGTTAAATAGTTATAGGAGTGCAAGAGCTGATGGGCAGCCTTGCCTCTGAGATGGCAGCTCTGTGTCAGTTCCTCATGTGCTGGTTGCCATCCCTCCTTGTAAAGGCATCCATGGCCACCAGTGTCTTCTGAACCTGCTGTCACCTCTAATTTTGTTCAAAGAGAAAAATCAAGGCAGTTTCTTTTCCAAGGGACCGTGGAGCAGAACAGAGGCCCGTGAGTGGATGCTCCTCATTCAGGCTGCTTAGGCAGATGGGACAGCAAGGGGTGGGGGGAGCAAACTGGGGCTTGGTGGTCCCTGCAGGCTCCAGGCCCGGCTGGCTCCCCCGAGTCTCTGTCGTGCCTACCTTCCTGCACAGAGGGACTGGGTTTCCTACTTCCCACAGACATTTTCTGCCCCCAGGGCCCCACCTCGGAGCCCAGCAGCCCTGGCTGCTCACCCAGCAGCCGGCTGGCACCAGTTCGTGGGGAGATGCCGAGCCCAGCCTGCACCTCCTCCAGTGGGAGCACAACACCCCTCGGGCCAAAGGGCCAGTGTCCGGTAGGGAGGTGTGTGGGCAGCCAAGGCTGGGGGTGGAAAGTGGGGCCAGGGATGTTTGTGAGCAGTCTGCTGCAGCCCAAGGTAGGCACAGAGATGCCAGTGCTGAGGGTTTGAACCCATGGCTGGGCCCCCAGCCCTGGGAGCAGAGGTCCATGCCCCCAGAGGGGTGTAAGTGTTGCTGTGCAGAGGGTGGGCTCTGCAGTATTCTCACCCTGGCTGCCCTCAGGATTCCCCAGAGCTTCTCGTAGCAATTGATTTTTTTTTATTATTATTTTTTTCCCCATCCTCCTTGCCAAGCACCAGTCCCGTGCTCAGATTGACACATCAGAATGTGGGAAGGGGGAGGGATATTTCTGCTACTCCTTGGCCTCCCAGCCACTGCAGGGACCAAGCGATGGCATCCCCCCATCCTGGGTCAGGAGCCAGCTGGGGGCTATGGGCAGCAGTGAGCAGCAGCTCCCCGGCACAATCGGATTAGAGCAGACAAAGCGCCCTGAGCAATCTGCCAGCACAGCACGTAGCTTTTCTCTGTTATTAATTTTTTTTTCCTTGCTGGTGTCGACAAAATCCCCAGACAGAAAAAGCGGAAGAAGTAGGAGAGGCAAGA